CGCGGTTCATTCTGTTAAAAACACGCGTGTACACGAGAAGGCTGCTGCTGTAGCAGAAAAGGGAGAATTTCTTTCTACAATGTGTAAGAAAGTATATACCCGTAAAAGCTAAAAGTAATGTATTTTACAGAGGATTGGGTCAGCTGAACTGAATGAATCAGGAAGTCTTAAAGTTTCTCAAAATCGTGACTCAAAATCGTAGCCTATTCAAGATCAAATTACCGTTATCGATAATGGAAATAAAGCAGTAGAAACTTGTAAAATTGAGCCATTTTGTAGTAAAAATTCAGATGCCCGACCCAATATTGGTCTTTACGAAAATTTTGATTGACAATTTATTTTTTTTTAAACCGGAGGCAAAATAGCTTTTTCGCACGAGCGATAAACACCCTTAATTATATATTAATAACTAAAATATGTTTCTTCGTTATGGCCATTTTATTTTTGTGGATTTGGGCCGGTTGTCTGTTTTTCCCGGGCCGGTTTCCACTTCCCCATCCACCCCTGCTCGCACTATTAAAAATAGGCATATGACGTACTTGATAAAAGTTTTGTAAAATCTATCAGAAAAAATGACAATGAAATTCTTTTGACTGTCAACTAAAAATGAATGTTATGTAAAGAATATACCTAGCTAGAAAAAGAATGGACTCTGCCATACTGAAAAATGGTCCTACAGAAGTGGCGTCATCTATTGAGTAGGGCTTGTTTTAAATGGATCGAAGCGCGGGCTTTTTAAATGAGCGTATTTATTGAATTTTACTCTAAAATAATTAAATTTAATTATTAAATCTTATTTTTTACACAAAATTCAACAATACTAATAACAAGTATCGTTGTGATGTGTAAAAAATAAGATTTAACAGTATAATTTATACAATTATTAAATAAAATTAAAGCCAAACATGTGAAATATTATTTATTATTTAAAGTTCTTATTTATAAGTCAAATATTTAAACATCGTTTATTATAATAAAACAAGACCAACTAATACGCCCAAAGTTTTGTAAATGGAGTAAATATAAATAGGTACTTAAATGATGGCAAAAATAAAAGACTTACATTATATTTTTAGAGCCACAAACAAAAGGAATTGTCTAATTAAAACACATATAACAAATTATAGTTTGAAAAACGTTTTGATAATCACTTATTTGATAATATTATGATCGGCGCTATGGCAACGACAATATTTTTTGAGAGTTTGACAATAATATGACAATGGACGTTGGAAACTATGGAAACTACAAAAAAATTATGATTTAACGCCATCTGGCAATAACTAGTAGCAACTTCTTAACCTAAATATTAATTGCACTACCACCTAGTGACTAGGGCTGGAACTATTTTATTTGAGATTTCCATGGAAACGGGGTGGAACCGCTTTTGCTATTTCACTTTCTTGCCCCTGATGTTATGGAATAAATAGATAAATTAAAGATAGTAATAGAAGATAATAATAGATAATATAAATGTTTCAGTAGAAATCACTTTTAGTCTTTGGCTCAGAAATGTTTAAATCTACTTATATTTAAGTAGATTTAAACATTTTGATAATTTTTCTATTTTCTTTTTAGTCGTCCTTTTAAAAAACTGAATAAGTTCATTACTTGTTAAATAGAAGATTGTAACAATACTTTTTCGTTTCATAAAAGTCTGTTTGATACAAACGTACCTAGTTTAAACGTTATTTTAAAATAAACAATGAAAAAATATTTTAAAAAATACCATACGTTTTTGTCGTACGTTAGACAAAGAATGGCAAAAATTATAAAAGGACAAAGAAATTAAATTGGGAAAATTGGACGTAGCGTAGTACTATAAAAATGTTATTAACCTCGCTGGCACAAAGTGTGATATAACGAACGGGTCAGGGATTGTAACAGACAAAAATATTGCGATGGCTGCGAACATCTGGCGCCGAAAAGGACCTATTTAACTGAATTTTCTTTATAAACCGTTTAATTTTCCGTTTTTGCCAGTCGTGTTACTGGAAAACTACCGTCATTTAAAACAAATTGATTTATATTATGTTATTAGTTTAGATATATGCGTACAAACTTGAGGATGCTTCCTTGTGTGGTTATTACATACGATTTATAGGTAGCTAAACAATCATGTGTTGTACGAATTCAATAAGATGTTTATCATTTTCGAACCATGCTGTAATTTTACTGCTGCTAGATTTTTAATATAAAATTGTAGCATTTTTTATTTCCTTTGATAAAATTGAATTTAAAAATCTATTTTTATTTAAATTTCTTAGTATTGGCGCCATCTATTTGCTAGATGCCAAAGATACCAAACTCCATTTGTTACAGCTCACTTGTCTCGATATTTAGTTTTTATTAGCGCATCTATTCGCTAGATGTCAAACTTCTTTTATTACAGTTCACTTGTCTTGTTTATTAGCGCCATCTATTCGCTATATGCCAAACTTCCTTAATTGCATTTCACTTGTCCCCATCTCACTTCGCTGTGGATTGCGATTTTCTGTTCTAATGATTTCGATCATATGATATCACTTTTTTCTCTCTCATTTTGTCTGTGGTGAAAAGGGTTTTTTGTTTCGGTTCTGAAACTGAGAAGAAGGTCTTTTTTCTGGGAATTTGGATCTGAAGAAGACGCGTGTTTCGGCGTCCGACAAATTTTCCAGTGAAAAGCACTCTGAATCCACTTTTCGATTTCCATTGCACCGTTATCCGATTTGGAAATTTGAAAACCTTGTAAAGTATGCAATCCACAGTATAGATCGTATTTGTTTGGTTTCTTCTTGGAATGATCACCGTAAGTTTATCCGCCACTTTATATAGCCCTATCTAACTAAATTCTATTTCAGTTATTTCCGTTTGTTATTTCGTTTATTTGAGTATTTAATTACTGGTTTGGATCGGCATATGGTTTGAATATATTTATGTAAAGCTGATTTTCAGACCGTAAGTTGTTTTTTTTATTGAGTATCTGTCCTGAGAACTATTCTTTATTTATAGAGTAACTACTACATGGTACTCAGTAACTACCACATGGTACTCAGTAACTACCACATGGTACTCAGTAATTACCACATGGTATGCAGTAATAATGCAGTAATTATTGTATGTTTCACCCACTTTCATTTTGTATGGACCTATGCAGACCTTAAGACAGTGTTCCTGACATTACAACCGTTCTTTTGGCTGATATTGAAGACTTCTCCTGCCATAGTCATCTGCATCCACTTCTGTTAGTCTGGAGAATACCTAACTACCTGTTTACATCATAAGAAACTATATACAGATAAGTCTCTCTCTCTTAATTTTGATACACAAGGTACGCTTTTATTTTATAATTTTTGAGACAACAGATTTAATAACCTGGTAAATTATCACTATTTATCCCACATATTGTAGTCAAAGTTATTTTTTATTTAACGTTATAAGTTATAATTTGATTCGTACAGTACACTCTTACTTAGATATGATATTTTATATGAAAATTATTAACACATATTCATTTTAAAGGTTTTTGTACACGACATGTTTCGAAACATCATCGTATTGAGACATACATAAATTTCACCTGTTTTTATATTAAGTAGCTTACTTAGTTCAAAGAATACAGTTACTAAATTCGAATCTATTTAAAATAACTTGCGGTTTTATTGGGATCACTGTGACAAATTGATGATACTTGTGTTCGTTTTCAATAAATGTTTAATGTAGGATAGTTATTTCTGACTTTTATTTCTGATAAACATAATAGACCCTTAATGCTGTTGATTACTTTATTTTAGCTATGTTGTGATATCATATTTTTCTTTTTGGTTTCTTACTTTACCACTCTCATAAACAAAGTAAGTGGCGCCCTTTTCATGTCTTTGACCATACCTATTTGAATTCTTAACATCAATATTAAAATCTCTGCAGCCTATATATTATCATTTTTTTATTTTAATATTTAACAACATTAGAAAGTCACTGTGAGTCAGAAGCCTTACCTACGAACCCAGCTTTCCTCTAACCCTGAGCAACGGATTCTTTTTTCATTCTATTTGGGTAACGACAGAAAAGTCGTCACAAAATAATAATAATTATATTATACTTTATGATTGGCAACGGCCTATCTACGTCGAAACACCGGTTTTCGGTAGATCACCGGAGTTAAACAACGCTAAACGATGCGTGTAGATGGACGGGTGACCGTCTGAAAAATATGTCGTGCTTTTTCACTGCTCTTCACGCCAGTTCAGTGAGTATGACTCGATTTACACACTCGCCAGTCGATAGGACACTGAAAATGATATTTTCATTTCCAAATTAGCCTTAGAAGCACAGTTAGAGTAGAAATGTTAACTTAAAATACTTTATCATTATTCTCAAAATACTAAATATGTAGGTAATCAAACTTCTAAGACCCTTGGCCATTATAGTCCATATTGCAGGATATTATGCCATCCAATAATTTTCTATTATACAATTCCCTAGCAATTCATCGACATCAATGCCCGTTTACACATCTTAAGTTTAAGTATATCATGTGTAAAATAAAAATAGAATTTATAATTTTTCATATGATAAGTTTAATTGAAAGTATAACAATATAATAATAATTATATTATACTTTATGATTGGCAACGGCCTATCTACGTCGAAACACCGATTTTCGATAGATCACCGGTGTTAAACGATGCGAGTAGATGGACGGGTGACCGTCTAAAAAATATGTCGTGCTTTTTCACTGTCCTTCAAGGTAAATTATTGTCATCTAAGTTATAAGGCCTCAGTATTTTTCTATGTGTTACTGATGAAAATATTTTTAGTAGTGATTAAATATATTTTTAAATTATTATCTATACTTTTAAATAGTACTTCGAAATCAGGTCTCTCTTTATTTCTAATACTGTGACTACAGAAAAAAATAATAACACTTTGTTATACTTTTTTTCCTTCCTGAAGAGGAAATAATGTTAATATGAAATATTTACTTACATTTTTAACATTAAATTTTTTCTATTTTTCAGCTCATGGACAACGAAAATCAGTCGAACGTGCGAAAACGGGTGACATTCTCAAGGCCAAGATCCAGCAGCGCCCTCCACGTCAAGAGCTGGAACGACGCCACATTCTCGAAGCCGATGCGCTCCACGCCGACCCGAGCCTCGCCGAGCGCCAGCGCATGCTCAAGAAAGCCCGCCTGGCCGATCAGCTCAACGACCAGCTCTCCCACAGGCCCGGACCTTTGGAGCTCATCCAGAAGAATATCCTTCACACGGAGGAACCCATCGAACAGGCGGTCAAAACTGGAAAGATCCCTTATAAAGCCACAAGCGAGGGAGCGTTGAAACGGCCACAGCATCCCCAAAACTACATTAACCCCGAAGAAGACTCTCAAGGTAGTTCGGAGGGTGATACGGTAAGCCCTGGACCTAGTGATGTGATTGAAACGGCGGCGAAATCTGCGGGAATTGTGGTGTCTCTTATACAGCCCGCTGAAGGGACAGTGGTGCTAACAGCGACAAATAATGGACTGAACAAAGACAATAGTGAATTCGTTATCGCTGATTTATGCCGGTCTGTGCCAGGAACTTTATTATCTCAAGCTAGTGCGTCCAGTCCAGCTTCTCTGGTCTCGTCCACGTCGACTTTAAGTCCTCTATCTTCGGTAGCTAGTCCAGTTCCTTCCATAGCTTCTCAGCCAGCTACTCCGGCACCTATACCACCACCTCCGCCTCCACCTATTTGTAAGCTTACTCATGTCAGTTCTAAGAGCGACGCTCCGGGTAAGGATAAGAATAGGAAGAAGTCGAAATCGAAATCGGCACCCAAAGCGCGCACGATCAAATTCCACGAGTACAAAGGCCCTCCGAGTGCTCAAAAGAGTAGTAGTAACAGTGGTACATCGGGCGAAAGTTCTTACGACTTGCTGTTGAAACAACAAACGCTTCTATTACAGTTTCAGTTACAACTACAACATAAATACCCTCAAATTATCTTGCCGGCTCAGAAATCTACAAGCGAAAGTTCAAATTCCAGCTCAACTACTGTTAACAACAATACTAACAATGCGATACTAAATATCCAACAGCACTCTCCGGCAACTTCAACGACTAGCGAATCTTCGTCTACTCCTAGCAGGATAATGGGTAGGCTCGAGGATATGAAAGTTAATGATCTAAAAGCTGAACTAAAACGAAGAAATATGCCAGTGTCTGGCCCTAAAACTCAACTAATCGAACGACTTAAACCTTTTACTAACCAGTTAATCAGTTCAGATACCATCATAATAAATCCTGGCTCAGTAGACTCTTCCGTACACAGCAACGACCAGTCTCAGGATCTAGGCTCCCCTCAAGAACTACTAGTCAAAGAAGAGTCGTCCCAGGAATTTATGGAATTAGGCGATCCAATGAGCCCTGCACCACAAACATCTATTTCCGAGCCACTAGCGAGTCCGATAACCAGCGAGGACCTGGTTAGGGAACAACAGAGACAGATAGAAGTTTTGCAAAGAGAACTTGCGGCAAGTCAGTTGAAGATTCAAGCTTTAGGAGGAGGGAATACGCGTGCGGAGCTCCAGAAACATCTCCAGGCTAAACAACAACAACAACAAGCCCAGCAGTTACAGCAGCCGCAGCATCACCAACAACAACAAAACTTGGCTATGCAAGTTAAACAGTTGCAAGCGTTGCAGGCCAAACAGATTCGAGTTAACGAAGAACAGCAACGATTACAGCAACAACAACACGTAGCTTTCCAAAACCAAAAGAACTTGAACGGTTTATTATTAAACGGTAATGACGCGAAAACTATGGGGCTGGTGCTGAACGGGACGGATGTAGCTTTAGTGAGGCAGTTGATACAAGGCAAGGGAGCTAAACTGATAAATGGGCATAACAGAACTAATTCCTTACCAAATAATATTTTAACTTCGATAGTTGAGCCAGAGCTCAAACGAGAGTATATTGAGAACGTAAAACAGTATCCTGGTGCCAAGGGTCATGTGAACAACGAACCTAAACCTCCACCGTTGTATGAGGAAGCTACGAAACAGAAAAAGAGTGGAATTAAAAGCCAGGTAGTGGATGACGTCCTCGATATCCTAATTAAGAATGGTGAGCTACCACCGAGCGCTGCGTCATATCCTTCCACTCCTGGATCGGCCGGTACAAAAATACAGGAACCGATTTATCCAACCGCTCCACAACAAAGCGTCGGGGAGTCTCAAGAAAACGTCCAGATATACGAGGCTGACACCGCAGACCCTAACGCACTGTCCGGGATTGATCCTAATGAATTCCTGGACACGATCGATAATCTAGAGTATATGGATTTCAGCCAGCTGATGGACATGGGCGGGGGTGTTTCCCAACAGGAAAACAACAACGTTGTTAGCCAGGACAGCAATAATTACATTGTTCCTATGGATACGGACGAGTGGCTGGATGCACTTATGCCAAACGATAATAATTTTTCTGGCACAAACGGGAGCGCGACTACAAATTCCCTACAGCAAGAAGTGCAGGACTTGGGTACAGGATACGACCCCTTGCTGGGTCTATCGCAGGACGATACATTCGACCCTTTTAACTTGGAGGAGTTTCGGTCGTCGGCTGATCTGACTCTGTCCTGGGATCGGATAGACTATGCCGCATAGTTTCGTTTAGTTGATAGTGTATTTTAGTTTGTCATTCGCTTTTTCCAAGGATGTGACGCGACGGTTCGACGACACTACACTGACATTCCACGTAATCGATAAAGAAAATAAAATGGCCGCCGATTCGCCATGAAAGTTTTAGAAATGGTCTGGGACCAAGGCGGTCTCACTGTCGAGGAACTCGCTCACATCAATCTTATAGCGATCGGGATGATTTTTTACTACTTTAGGTTGTTTTCTAGTGAAACCTGTAATGGTTTGACACCAAATAAATTTGATATGTGACTGGGTACTGCATTCTTCGCAGACTGTTAGATAGGCTTAATAAAACCACAAAAGATTCTTTAGTGAAACATATATTTAACTATGGTTTTTGCACTAGAAAAGAGGCTAAAGTTATTATTCAGCGTTTTTAGAATATATCATGTGCAAATAAACCTACTAAATAGTCATAAATAGGATGTGACAAGTACTGTCTGTACCCTGGTAATAAGATTGTTATTTCAAATTATAAGGATTTTAGATGTATGCTTCAGGAAATATTTACATTAATGATGTAAATTAATGATGTATTCAAAAACAAATCATCGATAGGTTGAAATAACAATGTTTATGTTATCTGATAAAACTGATAAAACCCAAAACATAGAAATAAATGGGTTAAAAATGCACCAAATCGTAGTAATACTGTGTAGCTTATATATCGTCCGTTTGCTTCAAAAACTCATTAAATCAAGAATGTCAAAAGAAAATTGAAGAACTAAAAATATATAAGCAAGTGGTATATTTAGGATTCTTTTTAATAAATATTGCTTTTTAAAACACAACTGTGTATTCGTTCCTAGTGTTTACACTGGTAATATAATACAGTGTATATCAATTAAAAACAGGAGAAATGATGCCCCAATAATTCTTAGAGCAACCTAACGATATATTTTACTTAATTAAATAAACATTGGTTATTTCAATTTCTCATTTTGCGAAAAATAAGGTATACTTAACAATTAAAACTATATTATTCAAAATAAATATAGTTAGGGTTTTAGTAGTAGCTAAATACGATAATGTCTCTTAAAATAATCTAATATATTTATATTCCAAAGGGCTATTAATTCATCTGCAGGATTTTCATTTCAATATCAATTAACAGCCTGTGTATGTACATGTTTTATTTCATTCCTATAATATATTGGATTGCTTAAGAAACGCCCTAGATATAATCTATTATGTTTATATACTCTGTTAAATATTTAGTTGTAGTAGGTATATTAAAATTTAAAAACTACAAGCATTTTACAGATTATATGAAACTTGTATTAAATGTTTTACAAAAAAATATCATAAATATACTATGTAGTATACTTTTTTGTAAGACAATATTAATATAGCCTCTTCTTTTTTTTGTAAATAACGCAATTTAGATATATAATGATGTAAATATTTTTTTTTGTTTGTTTAAGCTAAATTAAAAAATACACGTAGACAATTTCGGAACGTACTTAGTCTTTAAGTACTAACGAATAAATTTATTTTTCGATTTTAAGAGAAGACAGTTTTGAGTGACAGTCGTGCAAAAGTAGAAAGAGCATTTTTTTAATTTTTTAACTAGTCATTTTGGAGTACTTAATTTTCGTTTTTAAGTTATTTAGTAATTAATTATTATATTTTGTATTTTTTTCTCAGGTGTTCTTTTATTTGTTATTTTTATTTATTGTTTATACTTTTTTACTTATATAAAACAAAGTTAAATATCTTAATTTTATTAATTTTGTACAGGGTGGTCGTTACAAGAGTAATGTTACACACTCAGATGCAAAAAAAAACGCAAAGGAAAAATTTTTCGTCAAATTTAAAATGTTATTTTTTTTATTTTCAGCCCTATTTCCTTGATTTTTTTTAACAAACTGTATATAAATATATCAACTTTAATTTGAAACCCTGTATAATAAGTCAAATACTAAAGTTTATAATAAACTTTACTATTTTACTTATTATACCGTTTTCTATCTAGCGATAGATTTATATACAGTTTACTAAGAAAATCATGAAAATAGGGTTAAAATTAAAAAAATATAACACTTTAACTTGACGCAAAGATTTTTCGTTGAATTTTTTTGGCATCAGAGTGTATGTCTATACAATAATATTGTAACAGAGAAAATGTTAAATGCCTATACCTTCAAATATATATTTACATTTTGTACATAACTTTTTTGAATAAATATTGTAAAATTCTCTAAATTAATTTCTAGATTTAGTAAGTTAAATAATTAAGAAAAAACTATTCAAATAAAATTTGTCTGCCATTATGAAGAACTTAAGGCCACCCTGTATATATTAAGTTCATTATATAAAATATAAACATACTGACTAGCGCAACTTCTTTGGACCAAATTTATACTAATATATATTTATTAGAAATCAATAAACCATTTCTTACTTTTTATATAGAACAGACTTAAAAATGAAGAAAAAACAATGTTTTGATATGAAATCAAAATACTCCTAGGGTTAGATTAGTTTGTAGAGAATATGTTTTTGCCTTCTGAAGTTGTCTACGCTGTGTATAAGGGGACACATTTTTAAAATATGGATAAGAAAGGTTTTCATTGTACAGTCGTTTTTCGAATAACTAAATCGCCTTTAGTAATTTTTAAGCGGGAGGAAAAATGTTTGTAAGGAACATTTTCTATTATTGTTATATTATTATAAAATGTATGGCAGCCATCTTAGTGCCAGTGGCTGTGCAAGAGAAGTGTGTTATGTAATCTTCTGAAATATCTTTATTTTTTCTTTTGTCTTAATTATACAGGGTGGTCGAAATTGGCCTGTTTTAACAGAGTAATCCTATTTCCTGATTAGATAGAGCAAAACCGACATAGATGTCATGGGCTCGATTTCTGAGACACGTTTAACAGCGTAAACCGCCTGTTGATATTTTTACTGCCAACTGAGATACGGGGTCTTTTTGAATTTTTTACCATTTGGAAAATTGCCCGTAACTTTTGTATTTTGCGAAATAATAAAATTCTATAAAAACGTTCTTAAGGCACTTTTTTAAGCACAATCCAGTGGCGTAGTCAGTTTTTCTATACTTGCTTTTTTTGTTAGAAATGATAAAATTAATGATATAATAATTTTTTAAATAAAAATCAGAGTTGGCTATTTATACACATAACTTTATATCGTTGGAAAGGGTTAAACGCCACCATTTATTTAGGTTCATAGCCAACTATGATTTCAATTTAAAAATTATATTTTTTATTATTTCTGACAAAAAGAGCAAGCATAGAAAAAAAACTGACTACGCCACTGGATTGTGCTTAAAAAGTGCCTTAAGAACGTTTTTACAGAATTTTATTATTTCGCAAAATACAAAAGTTATGGGCAATTTTCCAAATGGTGAAAAATTCAAAAAGACCCTGTATCTCAGTTCGCAGTAAAAATATCAACAGGCGGTTTACGCTATTAAACGTGTCTCAGAAATCGAGCCCATCACATCTATGTTGGTTTTGCTCTATCTAGTCAGGAAATAGGGTTTCTCTGTCAAAACAGACCAATTTCGACCACCATGTACACAATATGTAAGAAAATTTATATTTAGAATGTTTCCTTTTATTAAATAGTAAATTATACAAGTCTTTCATTGTTTTTGAAAAAAAAAAACATAAATCGTCTTAAAGGATCAAATAGTCGTTAGACATGAATATTATTCTTCTCATTTTTCGGAAATGTAGCCTACTTTATATTATGTAATTTAATTATAGTGTTTGGAATTGTTTCAGCCAAATACCATATTGTAAACCCGCCCCTGTATATTTTTGCTACTTTGCCAGGTGTTCGTGTATACGTTTTTCATTTTTCATCTGTTGTATTTCCTTTCACTTCTCTATTTTGTTAACAATAAAATACAAACGGTATGTGGATGAAAGAGCTTCACCCTATTATTAAAAAAAATATTTAATAAAATATTTTCAAAAAAAGTCTGTTTTATTTGTCAAGCTTTCCTTAGATTAATAGACACTGACTGGTGTGTTATAAAGATTAGTTCCATTACAGTTGGGGGTTGGAATCTTTGTGTTACACAGCAAAATAAAACACTAAATCACCACAATACACCAAAACACTTTTATTTTTACATTGGACTCTTTCCAAGTCATTGACTGAGTCTTAATCATCTTCTGACGATGCTAACATGGTTAGCGAAACGCGCGTCCAGTGTAAAAGTAAAAGTGTTTTGGTGTATTGTGGTGATTTAGTGTTTTATTTTGATTAGTTCCATTCTAAAAGGAAAACAAATGTAGAAAGAATAAATAATTGGAATTTACTCAAGAGTATTTTAAATTAAGTATCTTTATGGACATCACATCTTGAAAATTTACACGACTTTGAAAGTGCGATATCTGCCGACTTACCTATAAAAAACGAAAAGATTAGCAACATTTTTTATGGGTATATGTAGAGAGGCAACTTGCACATAACTAGTATGCTTTGGACCCCTTATTGATGATCTGCCCCTAATGGAACTCGAAAACATATTTTTCCAGCAAGACTAGACACCGCACAGTGCTTCGAACATATGGCCTCTAGAGGACAAAAGTGCAAAACTTCTCTTTTATTGTAGGCAATTTATTCAAACTAGGTTTATTTGACACAAATGATGAGTACTCTCATTATACTAAATGATGATGTTCTTAGTCCTACGTTTATGAAAAAAAAAATTTTATAAATAATAAAAATGTTGGAGCTGTGTTCCAACTAAGGAAATAATAATTTATAGTATGAAAACGGTGTAGGTATTAAATAAATCCCTGTGATAAAAAAGAATTGAAATAATATTAGAACATGATTCCTACAATATAAGCCTAATATAAGATAAAAATATTTTTCTTTAATGAAAAAGAAACATTAATGTTATATTTAATTAAAAAAAACTTAAGATACTATAAATTTACTTTAGGACAACAAAATGCATAGATCGTAACTACTTTGATTCAGAAGAATCACTGCTGACAGAATCTTCCAAATTTATAGTATCCAAATCACAGGTAGATAAAGTATTCTCACATATAAGATATTTCTGTACATCATTTTCTAATATGTTACTTTTTCCCGTTGTTACTGTTTTTTGGTTGGTATGAGGGGTTCGGGTGTTAATAGTTACCTCTTTAATAGACCATATCCATATATTATTTTTTCCTTTTCTTGGGTATGAGGTTTTATAATAAATTGAAAGATGGAAACTTTTTTTATGCGACGTTTCGCTCCAACATAGTGGGCTTTTTCAGGCATAAGTGATGTCTCATTTGACTGGAAGGTTCATCAATATCTAATAATGAACACATTTTTTGAAATACAAATAATTTTGAGTTCTTGTCCTTATGATCAAGCCAAGTATTAACCAGATCGGCACTGATTATCAATTTTACTCCATCTGAAAAGTATTATAAAATAAAGTTCGTCGCAAGCAGACGCAGGTGAACTATACAAAAATTAAAAGTGTGAATATGACAACAAAAATATTTAATAAATACGATATGTTTTGATATGTTTTTTAAATGCCTTTTTGAAGTTTGAAAACGTAAAATTTTTATACCCATTTAAGAATAATCTTACAGTTGAGGGTTGGAACCTTTGGTGTTACACAGCAAAATAAAATTACACTAAATCACCAAAATACAGCAAAACACTTTTACTTTTACACTGGACGCGCGTTTCGCTAACCATGTTAGCATCATCAGCAGATGATTATAAACTGACTGATGACCGAGTTTATAATCATCTGCTGATGATGCTAACATGGTTAGCGAAACGCGCGTCCAGTGTAAAAGTAAAAGTGTTTTGGTGTATTGTGGTGATTTAGTGTAATTTTATTTTGCTAAGAATAATCTTAAAAAATAAATAAAAACTAAACAATCACGAACTTGTTTAGAAATAAGTTTAAAGTACAAACCTTGTTTAACAATATCCATAATGGCTTTCAATTAAGTACGTACCGTTTAACTCCATAATATACAGAAATACTATGAATGTTATTCTTTTCACTGATAAGATAAT